AAAATAATGAGAATGATGAATATGAATAAATTTACACAAAAAATGTGTTATATGTTGTTTGACTTATACAACTATAAACAAACAATATTTTCATCACTACTCCATTATTGTCTTTATGTGTTTTATTGTTTCTTTTTTCTTAAACCGATTACAAACAATATTATCTGTTTTGAAAGTATTTTATTACTTTTATTATCAAATTCAAAACATAAACCATTTATAAGTTTAATTAACCTTCAGTTATTTGATACTACTTGTCTTCTAATCACTACTAGAACTTTCGTTAGCAATAGAATAATCACATGAAATATCCCTAGAAACATCCCTAGAAACATCCTTAGAAACATTAGCAGCACCAGCACTAGCAACAAGACCTACAAGAACAGCTATTCCTTCCACAATTGCACCTGATGTTATTTTTGATTCACCTTTTTGTGAACTCATTTATGTTTTATCAGTTGTTTGATTTTCTTTAAATATATTCAGACGGTATATCAAATGATGTTTGTTTTATATTTGGATAAAAATACTTACAAGTCATTATATTTTGCGATAAAAATACTTTATACAAGTTGTAAGTTTGGCTTTATTGAAAAGAATAAACTTACTTGTATTGATTTTTGTTTGATTTTATTTCCTTATGTAAAAATTTATTGTAAATAAAAATTATTTTTCGATAAGAAATAACATCGAATATTGTTTACGATTATTACAAATAATAATTGTTATTTAATTTTATGACAAATAAAAATGTAAAAGATAATTTAGTGACATTAATTCTTATTTATTTCATTTTATTTTTGTTTGTTGATTAAAATAGCATTTTTATTTCATCAAAAATAATTTCCTTCTCTTTGAAAATAACAATTTTTGTAATTCCCTTCTTACCCCCATTTCTTTGTTCACAAAAATACTTCAAATGACGTTAAATTAATTATTATTTGATAATTGTTATAATAAATTGAATTGTTATAAAACAAATAAAATGAATTAAATATTCAATTATTTCATTAAATATTGGAATTTCCTCTATTTTATAGTTTATTTAAACAATTGATATTTTGTAATTATGAAAATCAAACAATTATATAATAATTGTTGTATTTATTTGTTGTTTGTTTAATTCTTCATTCTTTTATGAATTTATTTAACAATTACCACAACTTAAAATATTCTAAATAAGTCATATGATTAAGCATTTGAATGACTTTATTTTCTTTTGTATTCTTTCTTGTTCAATTAATACATCATTCCACTTGTTGTTTTTATTCTTTTTCTTGTAGTATTAGTTGTATAAAATATTTTTATATTTATTTCTATCATTTTCGGTTTATTATTCATTTATCTCCATTCTTATCAATATAATCATTTGAATTACTGTTAATTCTTCATTATCCTATTATCATTCTGTTTTCATTTTTCTCTCAATTGCTTCATTTTAAATATTACATAATGTTAATATTTCACATCAATTGTTTCATAAATAATGATTATCATTTAATTTGCTATTTCATGTGAATAAAATAACTATTTGTTGTATGTAAAATAATAAAACAAAAATGTTTAATTATCTTATTTGTAATTAATGTTAATTCATACTTATTGGATAGGTAATTATAAATAACATAACAGTAATTAAAGAAAAGTTAAAAACAATAAACAATAATGAAATTATATTATTTCTTCATGATTAATTTAATTAAAATAATGTTATTCATACAAACAAATGAGAAATGAAATAAACCAATAAATTTATTTTGAATGTTGATTCATTTATTTATATTTTAGTTACAAAACACATTAACAATAATTACATTATTTCAATAATTTAATGCAACAAATGAGAATTATTATTTACATGATTCATTTTGTTAATAATGATTATGTATTTTCTATCTCATCACCACCATCATTCACACTCTATAAATGATCTTTATGTATTTTTATTATTTAAACATTGGTTGATTTATTATTATCAATATTTCATTCATTATAAATAAATGAATTGTTATTATTAATGATATTATAACACTTTTATAACAGAATAAAACCATTTTTAATTATTAAATAAATATTCAAAATAAAGAAATAAATAAAAAGAAATAGAATTAATAATTTATTCATTATCAGTTATAATGTTTTTGTGTTATTTCATTTTCATTTATCTATCATCTATAAATATGAAATAATTTATTAATTAAACAAGAAAAATAATTTGCATCATTAGACTATTCCATTTTTATTATTTTGCTCATAAAAATAGTGGAAAAATTACACCATCTATATTCATTTATATATGTTTATATTTTATATTCATTCTATTGAAAAAAAAGAATAAGACATAATTTTAATTAACCATATATTCAAAATAAATAATACAAATTATGTGAAAATGATGTTATAATTATAGTTCATTATTTCATTGTTATTTATTTCAATTTATAGAAAATATAAACAACAAAAACATTAAAATAAAATCAAATTATTATTTTGATCAATATTCTTCATTTCCTTCATTATAATTCAGTACTTTCTCTATTTCATATATTTTATGATTAGATTTACGTTCAGAATTAATTCCTGGATTAACAACATATTTGTTATCCTCTGTAACAATAATTCTTAAATATTCATTAATATCAATTTCATCAAATAGCCATTCCCTTTTCAATACTATTTTAAATTTGAGTAAGTTGATAAAATCATTTGATAATTCTTGAACTTTTTTCAATACATTTAATTGTTCTTTAAATGATTCAATTTCATCTGTTATTTTTTGTGCATCAACAAAATTATTAAATGATTCATGTAATTTATCTAATTGTTCTGGAGTAAGGTTGATAGCTTTTAATGCTATTCCAAGTGGTGTATTATTTTGACAATTTGTCTGAGGAGTACCATTACCTCCTTGTTGTGGGAATGTTATTTTATCTTGTGTACACATATAATCTATTATATCTTTTATATTAAATTGTTGTATTAATGAACCAATATTAGGAAATAAAACAACAATATCTGATATATCTTCTACTTTCTGAATTACTACTTTTCCAACTTCAGTTGCTGCATCTCCCAATAGCTTTTTTCGTTTATTTTCTAATTCACTTATTTCTTTTTTCATTTTATCTATTAAATCTTGATTGTTATCTGGGTCTAAACGATGTGCTGTTTCTATAATCTTTTCTAATGTAACTTTACTGTATGAATATCTTTTTGTAAGAATCTGTACTTCTGCGTCTAACCTTTTATCAATCTTTTCATATAGTTCTCTAATATTTGAACATTCAATAAATATTTTTTTACATTCTCTATTATCAATAAGAATTTTACATCTACTCATTGTAATTCCAAGAAGAATTTCTGTATTTGTTAAATACAAATATTTATATTTAATTGCAAGCTGGTTCAATCTACTTCTAAGAATTGTCATTGTTTTTAATTCTTCATATGATTTGTCAATTAATAATTCCTCTTCTCTTGTAAGATAATAATTCACTCTATTAATTACAAAACAAAAATGCATTCTTCTCCATTCATCTACTGAAGGTTGAATCTTTTTTTCAGACCAATACAAAAAATTAGTTAATGTATTAAATTTTTCATCTATATTTTTGTAAGATGACATTGTTTCAAATAATTTTGATTCTAATTTTTGATATAATTCTTCATCACAATTTATTATATAATTACTCTTCCCATTGAAATTCTTTTCAATACATATAGCACATATTTTACCTGATCGTATTTCACTTCCATATTTTTCAATTAATTTTTTTGTTTGATATACATGATATGCTATTCTGACGATTCTATCGTTATCTTCTTGTGATTCTGAAGATACCATTCTTGCTACAGTATTACACCAACTTCTGATTCCTTGGTACTGTCCATATCCTGGAATAAAAGTCTTCAAAACTCTATTTTTCGTATTTGGTTTTCCCGTATCTGCAATGCATCTAATATCACTTTTAACAATATCTGGCATAATAAACCCATGTTCTGAAAATTCAATTTCTAACCAACGATTTAAAATTTTATTTATTTCCCTTAAATGGTTATTGAAAAAAACAAGATATTCTTTACCATCAATTTGAAAGTGTACGTCAGGTTCAACAACAACTTCATTTTCTTTTTCTGGTGCGTTTTGAAGTTTTACTCCTATTTTATGAAATTGAACTAAACTTTGTGGATAATGTTCTCTAAGATAAGCTGTTTCTGATCTTCTTTCTGTATTAGAGTGTTTTGTAAGCATTTATTCTGAATTATCAAGTTTATCATTTTCTTTTTATTTCATTTTATTCATACTTATCGTATTTATTCTTTCTTTCCTATTTTATACCCCCTTTTTATTATTTTACATACATTTGTAAATATACACAATTTTTATTTTCATATCGTTGGTATTATTTTAAAATGGAAATAATTGAATAAAATGCGATGAATATTTTATTTAGTTACTATTACCCCCTATCATGTTATGCGATATATTTATTTATAAATTATATGTTAAAAATCATTCGATATTTATTTATCTTTTCATTATTTTGATTTCAATGATTAGTGATGAAGTTGAGAAATGAAATAAAAATAAAATGTAATAAATAAAATAATAGAATGAGAAAATAAACTATTTGTTATAAACTAATAACTTTTATGAAAGAAAGAACAAAATAAGAAAGATAAAAGTAAATTAGAGAATGTTTAGAGTTTCTCATAAGTGAAGGAGTTTATCTGCCAATCCTGTTGATGAACATGTAAAGTTCTTCTTTCTCTAATACATTCATCAATAAGTTTATGACAAAAAGGTCTTCCTTGTGGACAATTTCTTTGTTCGACTAATCCGTGTTCTCCTGCAAGATTTGAACCACTGATATACCAATCTCCCATGTTTATTAATGAAATAATGAATATAAGATTTTGTTTAAATAAAGAAAGGGAGTAAAGAAAAAATTAGAATGATGTTTAATTATTCTAGAACACGATAACTTACAAAATCAAATAAAGTATTGTAATTCAATTTATTTTTAATCGTTTTGTATCGTTTTTAATGTAATGTTATAAATAAAATATTAATATTGTTATCTTTAATTATTTTAAGTTGACGTCATTCATTTTTTATTATTTGAAATAATAATACTCAAAGAAATAACAATATAATGAATATGCAATTTTAAAATGATGATAAAGATAACATAACAAAAATAAATAAATAAAATATCAACATATTTATAACATAACCTAAAAAAATGAATATAAAATTTATTTAATTGTTTTAATATGTTTTATTTTAAATAATGTTTATTTTTATGTCAACAATTAAATTCCGGATTACATCTCATTCGAAATAAATATTGACAAATCATGCTTAAAACTAATATAAAAGAAATATTCATTATTTAAAAATAACATTAAATTAAAAATAATTGTGTCATTGTTATTCATAACAATTCTTGCTGTATATTCATTCCATATAAAATCGCATGTTTAGATGTTTGATTTATTCAAATAGAGGAATAATAAGAATAATTAATTAACAAATAATTGAAATATAATAGTTTTGAACCAGAATTAGAATATTGTGATGATAAAAACAAATGACCAATCATTTGTTTTTGATGAAAGGATAAAAATGAAGAAAGTAAAAAATAAAATGAAAGAATAAACAATAAATTAACTGTTAGAATGTCTAATGAAAAATGTAATAATTCATTTACATTAAATAGAAGAAGAATGAACAATGAAATAATATAAGAAATGATGGAGAATGTATTACTATTTAGATAGAAAAGAGAAAACAATAAATAATGAATAAAACAAAAATAAAATAGAAAAAATGAAAGAAGAAATATAAGTTCAAATCTAACAGAAATAATAGAAAGAAATGAATAAATAGAAGTGAAAAAACAGAAAATTATTACATTCGATATTGAAACACCATTTAATGTTATAAATGTTGTACATGATGAATAATAATGTATAAAATACAATCATCTTAAATGAAATGAAGATGAAAAATGATGTTTAATTTAATACAAAATCAATAACAAATATAAAGATGATGTATTTGTAAATAAATTGTTTCAATAAGATGTTGAAAGAATCCAAATCATATAAGAATAAATATATTAAATAAATAGATGATGAAAATATAATAATTGGAATAAAACAGATAAAACATAAGATGAAGATAAAAGCTCCACAGATAAAAAGAAAATAGAAACAAATAAAGAAAAGAAAGACTAATGAAATATGAACAACACGATTTAACAACAAGAATAGAATGAGAAAATATAGAATATATAAAAACAAAAGAGATTTTAATTCAAAGAGAATAAACAAATAAAAATAAGTATACACAAATAGTAAAAATTAAAATAAGAAATGTTAAAAGTAAATTGAGAGAAACAACAAATAAACAAATTGAATAATAAAGAATAAAAAGAGTAATAAAAGTAGGTGAACATAAAATGAAATAAAACAACAAAGAGAGTATGAACCAAATAATGGAGAATGGAGGTGAACAAAAAGGTCAAAAATAATTACAAATAATAAAAGAAAAATAGAAAATAAAAATACTGATATGAAGACAAACAAATAAAATAAGAGAATAAAAAGAGTAACAAAGGAATAAACAGATAATAAGAGTAAGAAAGAACTAAATATAGAAAATAAAAGGAATACTATTTATAATATAAAAAGCGTTGAAAATAAGTGAGAAATAAATAAAACAATAGTAGTCAAAGAATAAATAAGTTGTGAATTGTTTATGTTAAACAAGAAAAAATAATAAAAAAGATGACTATATCAAATATGATAATTATAAAAACAATTAACATTTAAATTTAAAACAATGAAATATAAAAAATTAAATAAATTAAATACCACAATTAAATAAGATTATCAAAAAATAATAATAAATATAAAGAAATAAATGATAAAATAGAATAATGAACAAAAAACAATAAATAATACGAAAGATTAATATGAATAATCAAATATTAATAATAACTCGAATGATAATTTAATGGTTTAATTATATTTAAGTTATAAATAAGAAAATAAAATAAAGAAGAATCATATTATTCAAAATTATTTTCAATTTTATATGAGCAGAATATTTGTTGAATGAATAATAAAGAAAAACGGAGTATAATAAAGAAATATAATGAATGGTGAATGTTCAATATATTCTACAAATAATAAATAACATGAAAACATTTTGTAGTTTCACTAATACATTAAAAATGATAATATAACAAATCATAATAATCATATATCAAAAAATCTGAAGAATAATAAGGAGGTAATAAATTTAAAATCAGACATATTCAAGTTGAAAATAGATTTATAAAAATATATAAAAAGGAAATAAAAAATAAAAGTACAGTTAGATATAGAAAATAAAAATAAGAAAGAATTAAATGATACAATGAAATTTCAAAACATTATTGAATTTCATAAAATAGCAATAAATGATAATATAAAAGTTATACATTGTAATATTCCAATTGAATTTGATATAATTCATGATTTAGAAGTTACGTTCGATTTACAAAAAAAACAAGATTAGATGATAAAGAAATAGAATATAGAAAATATATTTCATAACAAATATAAATAATAATGATGATATTTATAAATGTGAATAAATACAAGTAAATATAGAAGATAAAAAGAAGATAAAATAATTAAACCAGAAATGAATATACATAAGATGTTAGAATGAAATTTTGACAATAATATTTGATATAAATCAAAACTAGAATTTCAGTTAAACAATATAGTTAAATCTAATGAAATATCATAAAAACAAATGATAAAAATGAAACAAGGATATTCAATAAAAAATAAAGAAATAATGAATATACAGATGATACATGATGAGAATTGAAATAAAGATATAAAATAAATATAATAAAACATTTAAAATAAAGAAAGAAAATAAAAATAAATATAAGTAGCAATGTTGAAATTGAAATAAGTAAGAAAATGAGAAATAATACAATAAAAAATAATAACAGAAAATAAAATATCATAAGAAAATGAAATAAAAGAAAATAATAAGATAAAGATAGAAGATAATATAAAAACAAAGAAGAGATAAAAATAATAAGAATAAAAATAAGAATGGTTGACGAAATTAACAAAGATACAAAAATATTTATAACAAAGAATGAACAATAAACAGAAATTGATATTATAAAATAAAGAAGAAATAATTATAGAAGATATAAAACAAATATGAGATATAATAAAAGAAAGAAAAGAAAAAGAAAGTGAATAAGTATGTATTAAAATAAAAAACAGAATAGAACAAATGAAGTTTGAATAATAGAAATGAAAATAAAAGAATAAATGAAGAAAGTAAAAAATAACGAATTAAGTTTAAAGTGTATAAGAAGAGAATGATTAGAAAATAATAAAAAGAATGATGATATAACTAATAAAAAAGATGAGAGAAATAAGAAATAAAAGAAAGAGAAAGTAAAATAATGAACAAGAAAAGAACAAAGAGAAAATTTGAATAAAAAGAAGAAATAAATGAATTGAATGATAGATGATTTAAAATAGATCGATTTGATAAAAATGAATAATGCATAGAATATAGAGATAAAAATTAAATAAAAGTAATGAAATGAAATAAATAACTGAATGGATAAATAAAATGTCATAAATGAATAAATAAAATAAGAATGAATAAATTGGCAACGAAAAAATAATATAAAAAGAATA